CGACTACTAAGTTGGTCGGCATAGGATCGAGTTGGCAGCTTTTCTTCGATGATCTACTGACCAGCTTCCTCATATCTTCCACAGAGTACGTATTGAAATGATCAAGTTTCTTATCCCCTGTAAACACTTTATCCTCAGACACCGCTCCAGGATAAAGAGTACACGCATCAAGCTCAGCCCGAATTTTTGCAATCTTACGGTCAAAAAACCGCCCAATGTCATTGGCTAAGATTGAATTGTCCGTGTATTCTGGAAAACACAACTCGTTCCTCGGAAGTAACAATGATCGAGTAGCCCTGAATAGCTTTTCTTGGTCTTGACTATTGTCGTTAACGAAGTCTGAGTAGAAAGCACGCTTAGCCCGTGTGCTTATATAAGTGACGTGGTTCTTAAGTTTCTTGAATGCCAACAAATCTTCCTGTGATCGTGTTCTTCTCCATCTCCGTTCTGCTTTCGGCGTTGCCTTTTTTCCTCAGCTATCTCACTGGTGTACCAAGGCACCTTGTGCCTAGCCCGCACTGTTTTGGTTTTTAAAGGTGGATGACGATCAAGAACTTGAGAGAGTGTGGTCGTGTAATTCTTTACAAGTAAGTCCGAGTCCACTGGGGTGCTGGGATTGATAATACCTCGATCACACAGCCCTGTATGTACTACATCATTCGATAGGCTCTCAGCGTCGTGGGATTTAGTTTTCCTAAACTTTACTAAATCGAATTATGTTTGAACGTCCAGCCGCAAACGGGTAACCGCAAACCGCGGTGAGAGGTTCTCGGTAAACTCGGATCTAAAACTCTCTAATGGGGAACGGGTGTACAGCGGTAATCCACCTGAGAATTCAAAATGGCGGAGTAAACGATGCTTACAAACAGTGATGTTATCGCTAGGTCGCCGCTTGCAGCGAAATTAGACGACTCGCTTTTATTTTATTATTGCCCAGGCCAAGCCACGAAGCCTAGTATTCCGAGGCGAGAATTCGAAGTCAACGTTTCTGCAATGGCTGCCACCATTTGTTCTGAC